TGTGAGTGGGTGAGGAGATTCTGCATGGCTTGTACACCATCCTCATGTGGAATAATCGTGTATAGACTCCCCACATCCATTGTAATAAGGACCCCATCAAATTCTCCAACCTATTTGAGTTCTTGTAACAAATCAGGGGTGTACCTAATACAGGTGCTCAAAGATGTAACAGGTCTTTGAAGGTATAATCAAGGTACTTGGCTATAGGTTCCAATAAACCCTGGACTGCTGAGACTATTGGACGGCTGGGCGGTGTTTTAAAATTTTTATGTATTTTAGGTAATGTATAAATTACCGGAGTTCGAGAATGTTTATTTTGCAGGTACTGGAACAACTCCAGATCAATATGTCCTGCTTGTAAACCGAAGTGTAGTTTCTCACTGATTCTGTTAGCAATCAGATTTGTAGGATCACTATCCAATCGCATATAGGTGTTAGAATCCTTTAGTTGTCGTTTAATTTCCTTGGCATACTCAGAGTAATTTAAAATTACTATCCCACCTCCTTTATCAGCCAGTCGAATCACAATTGTTGGATCAGTAGCCAGGTTTCTTATTAACTCATGTTCTTTTTCTTGAGAGATTGGAGTGTGTTGGTCGATGTTTTCTCAATATAGCGTCAGTATCATTTTGACCGGATGACAAAAATGATTCAATCGCCACTTGGGTAGATGGAGGATCAAAAGAACTGGGGATTTTAAATTTGTAGGATGTTCTGGTGGTAGATGGAGATGTCTGGAGAGATTTTGATTTCTGAAAAAAATCCTTTAGTCTGACAGTACGGCCAAATTTAAATAACTCTACATCCCATTGAAAATGATTTTTACTAAACCCACTGACCGCAATACTATACTGCGGTTCGAAAGTGCCCATCCGAGACACCTTAAAGAATCATTGCCCTATACACAATTTTTAAGGGTATTACGAAATAATTCTCAAAGTCACCAAAGCGATCTTCAATTGAAAGATATGTATAAGAAATTTCAAGCAAGAGGATATCCAAGTACCATTCTAGATGAAGCTGAATCCAAAGCAAGAACAACATTCTCAATACCAACGTACCAGACTGAGAAAGTGGCAAATACTAGACCTATTTTCCCTATGCACTTCAATACTGCAACTGCGGAACTGACATCATCTAGTCGACGCAATTGGAACATACTGGAAGTAGATCCTACTCTCAGAAGATCTCCGCCAAAAAACACTGTTTTGCTACCGCCGAAATAAGAACCTGCGTGACCTTTTGGTTAAAACTGACCCACAAACACTGTTATAATCCTACAATGAAAGAAAATAAGAATTTTGGGTGCGTTAGGTGTTTGGGATGTGTCACATGTTGGCACATCATCCCTTCTAAAACCTTTAGTCACCCATATACAGGCAAAGTTTATAAAATACGACAACGAATCCATTGTAGGACGGACCACGTAATCTATAAATTGACATGCCCATGTGGCCTCAACTATATAGGCAAAACAGAGATGGCACTCTGTGAGAGAATTAGAGTCCATAGATCTAGTATTCAGCCAGCTTGCCTATCGTGATGGTAAGTCGGACAAACCTGTGGTCCGACATTTCCTGGAGTTCCAACATCAATTATCCTCTTTAAGATGTGTGGCAATCGAACATGTTCCTGTCTCAGTCCGAGGGGGTGACAGAGGCAAACTCTTATTGCAACGAGAGACATATTGGATTATACAACTTAATACTTTGGCACCTAAGGGCCTTAATGAAAAATGTTCCTTTACAGCTTTTCTGTAGAAGTGTTGTGACATTTGTTGTGATGACAAGTTATGATCATGTAACTCTCCTTGTACCACATAGTTAGGAATTCGTTATGAGTACTGTCAACTAAGAATTTTAATATTATTATAATGCTCTTTTTATTTACTGTTATAAGGAAGGCTCAGAATTACAGGACTTTTGGAGAAAAGTAACATTGAACTTTGGAGGAGTAAGATGCCTTACACACTAAGGCCTAAAAATGGGACAGAGTTAGGAGTCTTATTGGTTGACAATCAAAAATCATTTTTAGCACTCGCACATTTTTAAAAAGAAAATCTTTTTTGCTTGCACATATTTTTTAACAAAATTTATTGTATATTTAAAAGACATAGGTTAGTAATGAATGTAATTAATTGGAAGCACTTTATCCATATGTATGCTAGTAGTTAGCAGCTCTTAAGTCTCTTTATTCTCATTCACTCACTATGTATGAGCACACATTAAGTGGCTCCTTATGATGAATTTACACTTTATTTTTTGGCATTTAAGTGTTCACTAATATTAAACTAGTTTTTTGGTGTCAAGCAGTATAGCACTGAGGTCCTCCTCCCTCCCTTTAATGTCTTGTCTGATGCTCTTTTCCTCAGATAACAGCCCGGTTTCGTTCGGGTTGTCATGACAACGCATAGCATGAGATCCGAGGCTATGATGAAATTTGAGCCTTAACGGCACCAGTACACGGGGATTAGCCAATGAGGTGTGCCTGACCAATCGGAATCCTTGCAGTAACTGATCACATGTCTATACCCGGAAGTGAAAGAACATGCAACCTGAGCGAATCAGGCGGGATCGGGGAATGAGCTTCAGCTATAAAAGTGAGTACTTACCGTAAATTTAGCTTCCTTTATAAGCCTTTCATTTTTTAAGTGTTATTAATGTCCTGATGAAAGCTCTATAATGGAGCTGAAACGTCGATATAATTCTCTGGAATAACGAATCCTTACTTGGAAAGCCTTGGAGTTCTGGTATTTTATATATATATATATATATATATGTATATATATATATATATATATATATTACTCAATCATCTGGGGTGGCAAGACATAGCCTTACATATTACATGCGACAATATATGGCGCAATGACTTATGGGGCTGGCATAGACTTTTTTTCCAGGGCTACTTTGTATCCCCAGTCCGGCCCTGCTTACAACCCCCTTTCAACTTTACCCCCATCCTCAGATATAACCCTTGTCATTTTCTTTACTTTGTCAATGACCTTCTCTTGTTCTCTGTTCAATCTATCAATGTAATTTTGGTGTACATGACTTCTCAAGGGCTGTCCCTTTTTTCTTAAGAATGTTCTACCCAATTCTATTATTCTACTCTATAACTTTATCCTAGTTCTTTTAAGTAATCACTAAAACACAGCTCTTTAAGAAAGCTTACCATTTCCTGGGTAAGTTCTTGCAACAAAACCGTATCCCAAACTCCACACTTAACCTATTTTTCTCAGTCCGCTAAACGCCTTTTCTCCTTCCATTCGACATTGCTACTCTACATCTACTCAATACCTTCACACAATTAACTTAACACAGGCATCATACACAGGCATCATATCCTTCTAATGCTCTGACATGTTTTTCATCCTCTTGTGTTCTTCTGCCTCTTTCAATACTTGTTGTTTTGTATCCTCAATGTATAATTGTAAATTCCTGAAGAATATGTTGGTGCTATATAAATGCTAAATATAATACAACTACTACTACTACTACTACTACTACTAATAATAATAATAATAATAATAACACTTAAGCAATAATGTAAAATGTGTGATGGAAATATCTTTTTTATTTTAGGATC